AAAGACTAGTTCTCATAAAATGATTACATCATTAAAGGATGAGATCACAAGGGTGCTAGTACACTATGCAAAACAACTACTTGCTGAGCCCCTACTATGTGCCACACACTACCAAATACACAGGAAACAAATCTTTGTAGACCCCTTGCTATCCATATGTCTGGTCACCTGAGTTGTGCAGTACAGCTTGTACGGCCACAGCAGCCCCATAAGACCACCGTAAACTAGCAGGGCCCCAACTGCAGGCTCCTTAAGTATTGGGAAGAGTCTACAAATTCATATGCGTACAAGTATGCTCTGTACACAGTAACACCTTAAAACATACACTATTTTCAATGCATAACAGATGCTGTTAGAATTAGAGTACAATATCATTTTTAAATAATACTGAAGTCCTACCAGGCTTTTGCCTTTTTTCCCCTCAACTAGTGTATTCTGAAAGTACATTCCTGTCATGTCTCCCTAACTGTTCAATGGTCACTAGTGAAAGGTATCTAAATGCTAAAGACAGAATGCCATTCCATATCTGATATTCTCCTTCGAGTGACTTATAAAAGGCAATTTGGCAATATGGATCAAGAACCAAAGACCTGCACACTCCCTTTGACCAATTTTCTTTCAATAAATATCAATTACTTTTATAATGAAAACAATGGTACAAACATTTTAGATGCCTGAATCCAGTTGATTCCTACAACCTCATAGAGTCCAGGGAAGGTGTCTGAAATAGCACAGGCTTGGAGGTCAGACAAACTTGAGCTTGAATCCTGCTCTGTCACTTATTAGCTATTTGACCACAGGGAAGTTGCTTGAGTTCTCAAAGCCTCAGTTGTCTTATCTGTGCAATGAGAAAACATGATCAACCTCACGGAACCGTGAAGATTAATTAGTACATCATCTGATACATTGTGTGCTCACTAAATGAAAGCTATCGTATGAGATCATGCTTCTCTAAATACATGTCCCAGCATTCAAGAATTTTGTTTTAACATTATTTCTCTATTTTAATTATTAGCATTAAAAATATCTTTTAGTTCATTGCAAATGATGACAACTTTTGCCACTTATTGGTTAAATGTGTTTTTTAAGGGCTAGCTTTAGAAGCTATGAACAAAGTAGCATTCTAGTCAGCATTTCCCAATTCATGGATTGCTCACGTCATTAAATTCAATATTGATGTCTACTTCAAATTGTATATTTTTGACCATTTACTAAAGTAATTATTTAAAATTTTCTTCTTAAAAATGAAATAAGTTTGAGAGTATCCAAAAATATATCTACTGAACATGTGTGAATTAGTGGAAATTAGGAGACTGGCTCATGATATTATAATCACTCACTTGTTATAACTTCATCTGAACAGCGAACATCACAGTAGTTTTAAACTATTTTTATTCTTGTAATGAACTGTTGGTTAAAGACAGAAAACACAAGCTACAACGATGATGAAATAAGCGTAAAAGAGTGCATTTATTTCATCAGAATTCTTAAATGGTACATCAAGACATCTCAGTATTTTTTTAAGCCTTAAAAAATGAAATGTGGTGATAGTTATATCCAATTTGGATTTTCATTTATTCAGAATGAACTATTCATACTTCCAATGTTTTATTTGTGGAGACAGGCTTGCAAGCAAACCTGCAGCCTGGAACTATTCCTTTTATTTTGTCATTTAGAAACAAAACAGAACAATTATAAAAACCTGTTGATTTTTTCAATACAAAAATGCAAGAATTCCAAATTTAAGGTTAAAAAGTTAGTTCTTATCTATTTTGATGACATAGACATAATTTCAACCTACATTGTAATATATATTCATTTACAATATGACAATGCTTATCTTATGTTAATGTATCATGTTAAACAGGAAAAGGTTGAAATTTGTTTTAATGTATTTTGTCCAATGTATTATTAAATGAACTACATATGTAACTTAAAAATAAAATATATTTTACTTAAAATTACTCCTTTCTCATACTACACAAAAACTATTAAACAAATTAAATAAAGTTGGGAAGTGTTGATTCTCTCTACATGACCTTTGGGAGACCAGCTTGTAAACAAAGTGCTCTGATATGATAAATTTACTTTGTTATAATAGTCTCATAAATCCGTCAAGGCAGCATATATGAAAACTGAGGCCCAGTGAGCAAAACTGCAAAGCTATTAGTGATTCTGTGCCTCGTCTATAACTCTATATCAATCCCTGTACGAAAAATTCACTTAGCCAAAAAGTGGTGTGCCAGAACTTCATATTTCATTTCCCTAATATTCTCCTTCCTCTAGTTTAAATGACCACCACCTAACAAGGTTAGGGTGCAAGTTCACACACTTACTTTTCACCCAGACTAGTCTAACAGCTCTTCCCACTCCAAATCATATTTCACATTGATTTAAAGTAATCATCCTCAAAATCTCTTAATTATGATATTCCATCACACAATAAAACCTTTCAAGGTACTCAGGGTCCTTACAATGAGGCCAAAACTCCTGAGCCTACGATTCAACGTCCTCCATGACCTGACCCTAGGCTCACCTAGCCTCATCTCCCAGCACTCTCAATGCTAGAGTCACATCATTTCCCAGAACACACATGCCTGCTTCTGTCTCAGCTTCTACCCTCAAGCTGGTCCCTTTGCCAAGAATGGCTTTCCTCCCCAAACTCTCACCCAATAAAACCTCACTTGTTAAAGCCTCCAATTCAAATGTCCCTCCCCAACAAAGCCTCCCTGACTTTCTGATCATCCCCAAAATCACTCATTCACGCAACAAATATTTATTGAGCACTTATTATGCACCAGGCACTATGTAAGTGTTAAGGATACAACCACGAGCCAAACAAACATGGCCTCTATCTTCACAGAGCTAGTACTAATCTCAGTGAGTTGCTATAAGAATTAAATGAGGGGCCAGCCCGGTGGCACAGTGGTTAAGTGCGCACGTTCTGCTTCAGCAGCCCAGGGTTCGCAGGTTCGGATCCCAGGTGCGGACATGGCACCACTTGGCACACCACGCTGTGGTAGGCATCCCACGTATAAAGTAGAGGAAGATGGGCATGGATGTTAGCTCAGGGCCAGTCTTCCTCAGCGAAAAGAGGAGGATTGGCAGCAGTTATCTCAGGGCTAATCTTCCTCAAAACAAAAAAAAAAAAGAATTAAATGAGATAAAATATGTAAAGCACTTAAAATAGGGCTATATACAGTCATGTTCAATAAATATTAGCTATTAATGTTGCTGCCTAACCATACCATCTAAAAGTTGCCATACTCACATATACAATATCACTTTCTATGTTACCCTGATTTATTTCTTCTTAGCACTTACAACTACTTCTCATTATAAATTTGCTTTTTATTGTCTACCCTCCTCCCCCACAGGGATCATGTCTTTTTTTTAACTACTGCAACCCCAGTGCCTAGACCATCACCTGGCCCTTAGCAGCCGGTCAAACACCACCTCTTTAACAATGCTTTTTATAGTCTGGGAGTGGAGACAGACATTAACCAAATAATCACAACAAGAAATATAAAATTACCATTGATATGTCTTCTATGAAAGAGGGTTACCTAAGGAGTACGACTTAGGTTTTTTTGAGGGATAGGCAGGGCAGACGGAGTTTCCTTGAATTCCATGAGCTTAGAACTCCAGGATATGCAGAGCTAAGCAGGCAAGAGAATCCCACCACAGGTCATTCACATATACCATTCCTTCTATTTGGTTTTCCACAACACAACTCTTATAATTTAACCCTTCACTTTTCTTCCTGTAAGTAAGACCCTCCGGGAAGCCATCTCTGACTATCCCATACCATGACCCCACAATTTTTCCTTCCTTAGCACTCTTCACATTAAAAATTACTCCTTTTGCTTGATATCTATATTATCCACATACATGAGATACAAAAAAGGCAGGGACCACATCTGTTTTATTGTTTGTAACATCCCCAATGCCAACACAGTCAATGGCACTCAAAAAACTGTTAGATGAATAAAAAGCAAAGTCTGTATGTTGGACCAGTTGTTCTCAAAGTGTGGTTCACAGACCAGGAACATTAGCATGACATGGGTACTTGCTAGAAATGCAAACTCTCAGGCCCTTGTCTAGACCTAATAAATCAAACTCTGGAAGTGGTGGCCCTCAAATCCTCCAGGTGATTCTGATTCATGGTCAAGTTTGAGAACCCCTGTCTCAGATATCTCAACTATTCAAAACACAACAATGAAAATTTTGAAAAAACAAAGCTTTATAATAATGTCCAAGTCTATTTATTGAGTGTGTACTACATATATTGCACGAGGAAATTTTTAAAAAGTAAACTCTACAGATAATTCCCAGCTCATAAGCTAATATTTTGCCTTCTCTTCACCTATCCCATAGATACACTCTTACTCTGTGTGTGTTTTAACGAGCAAGGAAAAGTCAAACTAGTTGGAGGCAAAGTCTAAACCATAATCATGCCTAATACATCTTTCTAGTCTCATTTTCTACTACACATCCTCATTCTCGCATCTCTCCATGCTACATAAAGGTAATCCTGCAATAAATCCTAATTACTTTCTACTCATCTTCATAACAAAGCATCCTTCCCCCTTCCAAAATGATCTATATAAATCCTATTCATCCTTCAGGCCCAGCTCAAATGACACTTTCGGATCCTAAATACCCAAAAAGGTGTGCGTAATTTCTCCTCTGTATTCACATGTTCATTCTCAGTGGGAGGGTCAACACTTCCAAAAACAAGCAATTTAGTGTTTCAGGTAGGACAGCTCTTTATTCTGAAGAAATCATCACATCTTTCTAAATTTCCTTTTTCACCAAAAATAAGATTCTCAAACTCACTTTTTCCATGTAGTCCACTAGTTGTCTGAAATTTCAGTTTAGGATTATACTTGTCAGATAGGAAATGGGATCAAAAAGTGAATCATTCAAGCATCTACTTGGCACCCTGGGCACTGGGAATGACAGGAATAAGTAAGGCACAGTTGCTGCCTAGAACTCACATTTCAAGGGGAGAAACAGGTTAACACACAATGACAGTGTGATAGGTTGAGAATGTGAAGGGCTGTTGTGGAGGCAGACACAGGAGAACGACAACCTAAAAATGCAGAGTCAGTGAGTTAGGGAAAGTTCACAGATTAAACGATTTTATAATAAACTACTTTCAAAAATAGATGAGGGAAAAATAGAAATTGACTAACCTCCTTGGATAACATGATTACAAGGACTCAGTTTTGACTAGAAGGTCTTATTCCTCCCAGAGACCAAAATTTAGATTGCTGCATATGATGGAGCAATGTGTTCATTAAATGTACTGCAAAGCATGTGTAACCCAACTCAGTGAAAAACCAACTGAAGCCCCAACCTCTTTTGCAAGGGGAAGGAGAAAATGAGCAAATATAAGGGTCTCCCAACTAAAGGCAGAGAGAGCAAAACAAAGGAAGGCATCAGAAGGTATTAAAGAGACTGTCACAATCTAACTGCCAAGCTGATTTTCTCTCTTCAGACGCCCTGGACTCTGCCTCCAAACAAAAACAAAACATTTGTTCTGAGGAACAGTCAAGCCTGTAAATAAACATTTTTAAATTTCCCAAACTGCACCGCCACATTAAACGACGCTCAAAATAAAAATACATTTCAAAACATTTTTAGTTATTTCTGTCAAAAGGCTGGGTGTCTCATAAGGTCATAGCATGCATGTCACCCCATGTCTCACTCCAAGACACACTGCCACTCAGGTTTTGCAATCCCACTCGGTAACAAGGCTTCCAAGCTCCCTCTTCCCCTCTGCATAAAAGAAAAGGAAGAAGAAAGCCTACGAATCCCTCTCCGCCCGCCCTACAGTTCCTGGGAAGCAATCGCCCTCAAATTGTTCCTGCTTAGACCCCTGAAGCCCATAGAAGGAAATGGGGACAGCTGCAGGCGCGGGGGAGCGAGGACATCCGATCGGGGGAGAGGAAATGTGGATGATAGAGGACGAAGGGGAGAAAAGAGCCGGAGAGGAGGGCGCAGTGGAGATAAAATGATGAAAGCGGGTAAGAAGCGAGAGCAAAGAGCAGGAGCGAAACACAGGGAGGAAAAAGAGGGAAGGAGCAGAGATCCCCAAAGAGACGAAGAGGCAAAATAAAATGGTCGAGGAGAAAAGGAAGGTCGGGATAAAGGACGAGGAGGGGGCGGCAGAGGGGACCGCGAAAGAGGCTGTCACAAGGGTGATAAAAAAGGGTGTCACCAGGGAGGAGAGAGATTAAGGGGGGGGGGGGGGTGTCACCCCAGCAGGTGGCCGGGGAACGCGGGGAAGGAGGAGCGAGTCACGAGCGCGCGGTAACAAGGGGGAGAGGTAAAGGCAGGGCGCAGAGGGGGCCCCAGCGCTGGGGAGGCGCAGGCCCGCGGGGGCCGGGCTCGGGCAGGCCTCGCTCCCTCACCATGGCTGCGCCGGCCTGGTCCTCGGGCGTGCAGCCTCTGTCCCGGGTTTGGCGGCGGGCCGGGCCTGAGCCCGCCCCCAGGCTGAGCCGGCGCGGGGGCTCCAGGAGGCTCGGGCGAGCGGCGGCTCCGGGCTCGGCCCAGGCCTCGGCCTCCTTCCCTCACAGGCTGGAAGTGCAGCAGCCGCAGCCGCAGCCGCAGCCCGACCCGGAGCGCAGACTCCGCCCCCGAGACGCCCCGCCCCTGACCGCCAGCCCCAGCTTGGCGCCGCCCCCGCGCCCGCCGCGCAGGCTCAGCCCAGCAGCCCGGACCCGGCTCCCGACCTCCGGCTGCTCCGCGGGCTCAGGTCCTTCCAAGAGACACCCCCTCAACCCTGTCTTCCTTTAAAAATAAGAGCTTTAAATATTACGTCATAACCGGAGACTAGAGCGCTCACTCGTTTCAGTCACCTGTAGACCCCTGTGCTTCAGGTTCATTGTCATTTGTTGCTATTGTTATAATTCTTGGTGATTTCAGTTCTCTTAGATGATTCTTCCAATGCCCTGATCTCTCGGCTCCTCTCCTCCAGGCATCGCGCTCGCCTCTGCCTGTCACTTCCATACTCACACCTTAGGTCTTCTCGTTACAAATATTTGTAACCCTTCTGTAATCTCAATTTTAATCATCCAACTCACCACAACCTCTTCCTTTCTAGCTCTCTTTCTGTAACACCAAAATCCAAAAGTTCTGCAACTCCGCCAAGACTCAAAATCCTCTGATCCTACTACCTTTTCACTATTGCTCACACTACCCTTATATCCTCACTTCCTTCCTTGAAAGCTTGGATTCTCCTGTCCATCATGAAAATCATTCTTTCATTTCTCCAGTCCTGCTCTCCTTTCCTTGCACTCGGCTGACGAACTCTAATCCTGAACCTGCAGCAAAACGAGGGAGAGTGGAGAAAAATCCGAAATCCGAAACCCGAAACCGTACTGACTGGTCTCCCTCTAAATTTGATATCATCCTCCTCCAACAGGCCCCTAATGCTTGGCTGTGCTACTGCATTTCTCCAGTTCCCTACGCTCTCCTACCTTGGTGGATAACTATTTCCCATCTCTTTTCAACCATTCCTCCTTCATCCTCACCTGACTGATGATTTTGTTACCAATTCACTGAGAAAATGAAGCAAAAATAAGAACATCTACAAGTTCCCATGTGCCACCATGACTTCCAACTGACGTATGACTCTGCTCTGCCTGTAACCACGCTCCTACGCTCTGCCTTCCTTTCCTTACTGCAAATGAACGACTTGTATTTTAGCTGAAGTCAAACCCTCCTCAGTTCCTCTCAAACTATCTATGCTAAAAGACTTGGCTTGGGTTTTTTTCCCCAATCAATCACAAACCTAATTTTTGTAAAATGCAATAAAAATTAATTACTAGAAAAGTTAAATTTAAAAACAGACATTCAAAATGCAAGCTCAGATTTTTTTGCCATCTGAATTATTTTTAAATGTACCGTTCAAGGGCAGTAAGTACATTCACCATCACCACCATCCAGCTCCAAAATTCTTTTCTTCTTGCAAAACTGAAACTCTGTACCCCTTCAACAATAACTCCTTATTCCCTCCTTCCTCCAGCCCCTGATGACCATTCTACCTTTCTGTCTCTATGAATTTGACTACTCTAGGTCAGATTTTTTATTATTAGATCCAACAGACATAACATTTTTCTGTCAAATTGCTATAAAAGTTTCTAAATATTTACTCTCAATTTCTGCCACCAACTGGTGACAAACTGTTCAGAGACCATCCCTAGTCCACAGATCACACTCTGAGTAACAGAGTGTTAGGTCTCATAGTCTCATTTTCTCAAAAACATCTATCCAGCAATTCTTCCTCTCTTCTACATCATCATTTTTCTATTTTTCTTTCCCATTGACTTACCAACATGAATTTATTTCTTCTATCTCAAAAACAAACAAAAAAAACCCCACCTCTCTTGACACAGCTTGACCCTCCATCTACTGCCCCATTTCTCTGCTCTCCTTTACCGCAAAATGTCTCTCAAAGGTGGCTTGTGCTGTACTTGATGTCTTGATTTCCTTTTTCCCATTTTCTGTGGGACCCTGTCCAGTTAAGCTTTTACCTCCACCACTCTACTGAAATGCTCTTATTAAGGTCACTAGTGACATCCATTTATTAACAACAGTCAAGTCTCAGTGTTCCTTGACCTATCAAGAGCACTAGACACAGCCGATCATTTCCTCCTTCTTGGTTACCATGACACTCCACTCCCCTGGTTCTTCTATCTCACTGGCTGGTCCGGGTTTCTCCACATTTCTTTGACCTCTGAATTACTGCAGTGCCCTAGTCAATACTTTGACCTTTGACCTTTTCCATTTATACTCACACTTTGGTGATCTTATCCCATCACATTACTTTAAATCTGATCTGTGTAGTGATAATCCCCAAAATTACACCTCCACTCCAGACCTCTCTTCTGAATTTCTGGTTTATATATCCAACTGCCAGCTAAACTTCTCCCCTTGTATGTTTAATAGATTTCTATTATTCCTAGTAGTCACCCAATAGACTTCCCCTCAAGTCTTATTGGCCATGAATAAACCAAAAAATAGCAAAGAGAATAAGACCACCAATATTAGCTTAGACCAAACATGATTTACTCTCTGTGTCTGACCTGGGAACCACCTTCCCTGAAAACCTGGTGGTAGTAGAGGAAAATCATCATTAAACAAAGCAGGGTCTGCCATCAAGAGAGAATGGAGGGGCCGGCCCCATGGCCTAGTGGTTAAGTTCGCGCGCTGTGCTTTGGGGGCCCAGGGTTTCCCTGGTTCAGATCCTGGGCATGGACATGGCACTGCTCATCAAGCCATGCTGAAGCGGCATCCAACACGCCACAACTAGAAGGACCCACGACTAAAAATATACAACTATGTACTGGGGGGTTTGGGGAGAAAAATGAAAAATAAAAATAAAAAAAGAAAAGAATGGAGCCACAGTTGATCTGTAATCAATGAGACAGAATAGAAAATCCTAAAGTACATCAAAATATACATGGGAATTTAGTATGATAAAGGTAAAATTTCAAGTCAGTTAAAAAAAAAGGTGGAATTATGTTTGGTATTAGAATAACTGGATAGCCATGTAGAAAACTTAACTTGTATCTACACCTCACACTATTCACCAAGATAAATTTGAAATGCATCAAAGATTTAAATGTAAAAAAAAAGTGAAATCAAAAAATACTTGAAGGAACCATAGGAGAAGTTTTTATAATTTCAAAATGAGAAAAGTCTTTTTATAATCTCAAAGAGAGAAAAGTCTTTTAAAGTACAAAACAAAGCCTAAATGCTATAAAAGATTGATAAATTCAACTATGTAGAAATAAAAAATGTCTATAAGGCAAAAAGCCACTATAAGAAGAGGAAGGTGACAAGTGACTATATACATACGTTTACATTTCCTATCATAGGAAAATGGATAATTTTCATATTTATATACAGAGCTAAAATCAATAAGAACAAAAATACAAGCGGAAAAGTGTGCAAAAGATATGAAACGATAGTTCACAGAAAAAGAATAGAAATGACTCTTAAATGCTCACTCTTACTCCTAATAAGAGACGTGTTAAGTAGAATTCCTTTGAAATGCTGTTTTTCACCTATCAGATTGGCAAAGATCTATAAGACTGATAAGACACTATGGGGGCAGTTTGACACGTACTCTCATATTTTGTTGGTGAGAGTATAAATTGGAACAACTTCTGTGGAAGACAATTTGGTGGTGATATTAATCAAACTTTTAAATGCATATTCCCTTTGACTCAGAAGTTCCACTTCTAAAAATTTAATCTTCACATATGCTTAAGCATATGTACAAGCTTTGTAATAGCAAAAGATGAGAAACAATTTAAATGTTTATTAACAAACATTAATAAGCAGTTTATTAATAAACTGCTTAAATAATAGTGTATTCCTACAATGCATACTCTGCAGCTATGAAAAAGAATGAGAAAGTCCTTGGTGTACTGATATAGAATGCTCTTCAAGATCTAGTGTTAAGTGAAAAAGCAAGGTCCTAAATGATGTATATTGCATACTCTCATCCCTATAAGAAATGATGGTAGTAATATATATTCCTAATTGCTTATATATGCAGAAAATATCCCTGGAAGAATTGAACAGAAATCAATATCATCGATTGTCCAATTGCTGCTAGGGAGGACAACTGGATGGCAGGAGACAGGCAGGAGGGAGACTTTTCAGAATATAGCCTTTTGTGTATTTTGATTTTTATAATTACAAGAATGTACTACCAATTCTAAAAGTAAGTAAAAATTCAAAAGATAATCATTTTGAAGCACTTATTTATTTTACAAGTAAAATAATTTTTTGCAATGAGGAAAGACTTTATCAATGTTCCTAATTTTATGCGATTTCTTACAGGCTTTTATTCTTGTTGAGTTAATTAGGGCTGGATCCGTAGTTACTCATCATCAGTTTGGTGAATATAATCAACCTCCTTTGGCAAACAAAGTTTATAACTTAGTGAACCAATATCATTTTCTACAACAAACATTCTAACAAATGTAGTTGCCTATAATAATTCATAATCTCAAGATTACAAATCGAAGTTCTTTGGAACTTTTAAAATAAAACTTTGGATATTATTGGGAAGCTCTGCTCCTTTTGATAAACATAGAAACAACTTTATGAGGAAAGATTCAGAGTAAGTATAGCTTTAACTTAAATTCAATGACAAATGGTATATAATTACACACTATTCTTTCCTCTTATCTATGTAAACAGAAGTTAATGGTTAATTCAACGCTTTGCCCTCTCAAAAATACTTGTACCCTTTCAGAATTCCTGCTATCAAAGTTTGTGGCCCTTGGTCTCAATCTAACTATAATCGAGAGTTGAATCTAAGGTATTCAGGGCTTATGATAATTTATTTTCCCAGAAAGTTAATTGTTTACAGAATTTGAAAGATTCCTTTATATTCTTCTTTTTTTTTGAGGAAGATTAGCCCTGAGCTAACATCTGCTGCCAATCCTCCTCTTTTTGCTGAGGAAGACTGGCCCTGAGCTAACATCCGTGCCCATCTTCCTCTACTTTATATGTGGTACACCTACCACAGCATGTCTTGCCAAGCGGTGCCGTGTCTGAACCCAGGACCTGAACTGGTGAATCCTGGCCACCGAAGCGGAACGTGCACACTTAACCGCT